TTAATTCTAACCTTAATGTAATGTGTATATTTGTATATTCTCTTTCATTTAAGTTGACAGTATAAAAAATATTAATATTAAAAATAATATTAAATATTTATAGTAAAAATGGGTGGCTGCGCTGCTCCATATTGTAATAATTCAGCTGTCAAAGGATATACAATGAAAATTTGTGCAATCGAAATGTTACAAGAAAAATTCTTTATATTTCATTAATATAAATACATTAAAAATTTTTATAGCAATGGAACAAAGATTTTGATATTACAACAAATATTTTGATGATATAGACAATATTAAATTATTTTTGATAAAAAATTTTAATAATATTAAATTTAAATGTGATATCTTAAAGTGCCATAATCTGTTAACAAAAATAATTGCTAGATTTGTTGTATTTAGGTTAAGAATTTATAATAAAAGAAAAAATGTTACATTACCTCAAAGATATGACAGTAAGTTTATGTATACATTTCTCTCCTATATGAATCTATAAGGTTATCGACGTTTGAATTGGAGCGGGAGTTGCCACAAACGACGGACCAATCAAAAATTGTCTCTCTCGTGTCCAGACTCTGGTATAGGGTCTCTAAAATCAGCTGACTCAGAGCATCACCTGGTGGTAATTCCGGGAACTTTTTGATCAAGGTGGTATAAGGTGTCTCTGATCACTTGTAATCGGGATGCACAAGGTCAAGCGTTTTATTCCGAATTTACCGAATGTAATAATTTGTTGATCTACAACATAGTTAATAAATTAAATATTAAATTAATTATTAATTAATAATTAAATAATTTTGTTGTATGCATTACGTTATGCATACAACAAAATTAATTAATTAGTTATTAATTTACAATTAATTTAATATTTAATTTGTTAACCATTGTTGCGGATCAACAAATTATTAGGTTCATGCAATTCAATAATTTTGTTGTATGCATTACGTTATGCATACAACAAAATTAATTAATTAGTTATTAATTAATAATTAATTTAATATTTAATTTATTAACCATGTTGCGGATCAACAAATTATTAGGTTCGATAGATTCGGAATAAAACGCTTGATCTTATAGTACATCCCGATTGCGAGTGATCAGAGATGTCCTGTATATATATATATATACATATTATATAACACTGAATCGCGAATCGCTGAATCAAGCCCAAGACAATGCGAGGGAATAGCGATAGCGATAGGAATAACATGGTTTCAATCTATCAGAAATCGGATACCCCGGAATACACAGTTTCTGATAGGTTGAAACTATGGCTGCATTCCGTAACCTACTGCCAGTAGGCCAGTACTGACCACTGAACTGTACTGCTGGAAAGCGCTCTGCCCTCTGAAACAGAGAGAGCTAATGTGAGCCCTTC